CCTATTCCAGAAAACTATACCCTAATATTAGGAAAAACGGCTGATTCATACCCGTACTATTGTATACGGTCCCGTTACGGACATGTACTCTTGACCTGCGCAAATACATATGTACCTCGTTTAAATTCAAATTTCATATTTAAACAATTCTATTTGTGCCGCTACATACTTTGACTAACACTCTTTTAGTCACTCCGTTAATATTTTCATACGTAGATTTTGTTATTGAAAAATCTATTTCAATCCACCAAACGGCATTTTTTAACCAAATACCGTCGTTTTGGCCAATCTTGTTTTACTTAAAACCCCTAAAACAACACCAATTCAAACTGCGTCGTTTGATTATTTCTTTAAAATTAAAAAAAAAAAAGCTAAAATGACACTGTTTTAAAAAAAAAAAAAATTTTGGTTAAATGGTCTTCATTAATATTAAAATTTTTACATTAAAACCTAAAAACCGGAAATACCCAACAGATAACCCCGGTATGAGGAATAAACCAACAGATTAGGTTATTAGATCTAAAGACCTAATAAGGGAAAACGTAGTCTCCGCTAATCCAAAACGGAGAATCTTTGCCTCTGTCGACCACCCTTCAATCTTAAATCCAGACTTTGTATCACCGGTGTAATGCCCCAGTTACAAGGGTAAAATTAGGTCGAAAAATTCTTCAGTGGGGTCGTAGAGTTGCCGTGGGTCAAAAACCGACCGGAAAAGTATTTCGGTCGAAAACCGTAGGTAAGTACCTCGGTGACTAAGCAGTGTGCTAGCTTAGGGCGTGTGTGTGGCGTGTGTGGGCATGTGTGGTGAGCTAGTCTAAGTGTGTTAGACACACGCCCAAGTGATTCACCTCCTTAGACTTGTCATCGCCACATGTCGCGCCGGAAGATCAGATCGTTGTCTCGGCGGCGACACATGGCCGGTGACACCTTAAGGTGCTTCACCTCCTCAGGGACAGCCTATATAAACCCCCCCATCCCAACCTAGTTAGTAGCACACACTAAACCGCTGACCATAGTTCGTTCGTACCAGCCATTCACCGCAAATCCTTACCGAGCATTTTGTCAAGAAAATTTAGGGTAAGCCTTCCAAATCCGAATCATTCCCTATCCAACTAGATCTTTTGTTCTGAGTCCGAATTTAATGTCCGTTTTATGATTAGAGATTATACATATCCAAAGATCAGATTCGAACCTAAGTCACCGTGAACCCTAGACGATCATAGCTTAGCCTTCTTCAAGCTAAGGTGAGTCTCGGCATTGGTGTGTTTCCTTACTGCAAAGCAAGTAGAGTGTTA